ACGTCATTTATGATGGTAAAGATAGGAGATCTTGCCTACTTGTTTTTTACTAATTCCTTTTCCTAAAAATTAATTTATTGAATTAATTATTTGCTCATTCATATTTTTATTAATGTTTTATTTCTCTAGAAGTATCATATTTAATATATCTATAGTGGCGTCATATTTATTTGAAATTGTACTTAATTTATATCCTATTATCTGTTTGAAAATGTTGTCCTCAGCTGCTTTCCATTGATTTAGTGTAGAGATTTTTTTTAGTTGGATCATTTTGGTAGTGGACCGGCCAAGGTATAGGTTGGTTGTCCAATTGGTTGGATTTAGTGGTCTGCTGCAAATATTCAAGTGCTTTGGTCATGGCCGACCTTGTATCCTTGTTAGGGTCAGGAAAGAATTTTGTAGCCACATTACAGCAGATCTTTAAGACTACTATAGTAAAATTAAAATTTGATGGTATCTCCAAAACAACCAAAACTGCAAGTTAAAACACTACTACGGTTGTCCAAACCCCTTGCTAGTTGTTCTTTTAGCAAGGCAGAAGCATGCCATTTATTTTTAAAAATCGTATATAATGAAAACAATTATTTTTTTACCATAGAAGTCATAATTATTATTGACTGATGGATGTAAAATCAAGTAGTTGAAGACGTGTTATTGAATGAGCACAAAGTCTAAAATAAAATTTCTTAAATATTGTTACACACTTCAATCGATTGGATTTCACATTTTAATGGCTAAAAATAATTGTGACCTTACTTTTAAATGAGAAACTCCTTAATTGGTTTAGCCAGCACATTATTTTTAAATGCATGGGAGTAAGGTCCCTCTGAGCACTAGGGGCCGTTTCTCTTCACCCTCTTCCATTGAATATAGAGAAATAAGTATGGATGCTGACTGATTTATAAACGGATTGGACTAAACTTCCTTTTTTTTTTTTTTTTTTTTAATTTTATTATTTTTCTTAAGTGTTAACATTGTGCCTATTTTTCATTACTATAATATATGATTTACAAAATACAAATCACACCCTAATGAAAAATAGGCGCAATGTTAACATTTAATAAAATAAAAAAAATTAAAAGAAATAAAAAAAAAAGGTGCAATTTGTATGAAACCGATGTTCTAAACAATCAAAGTAAAGCACACCTTCTGGCAAAAAATATGGTTTTAGTATTGAAAATCTTCGTGATAGCCTTAAATTTTATTTTTATATTTAATTATAAAATTTAAAGCTTCAAAAACAATGCAGATCGTACAGATCTATAAAAACTTGAAGATCTTGAAAATTGATGGTAAAAAAATAGTTACAAGATACACTATTTTCAAAACTTGAAATCTATTTTTTTCAAGTCCATGCAGAGGTGATCAATTTGATAATATTTGGGCATCAAAACAACCTCTTCTAATGAAATTTTTGAGGTGTGCTCTAATTTGATTGTTTAAAACGGCGTAGCTATATAAACTTTTTCCTTTTCATTAGTATATGAGAAGATTTACGAAACATAAAAGTGACCATACAGGTATAAAAATCTATGAAGTATCCAGTGAGGTCGGTTATTAGTCGATCTCAATTGGTCGGAAAAAATAATGCACGTGCCTAATCACACGAGCGTGGACACACGTTGTTCGACGGAGGGGCATGCTATGATACATGTAGTATAATGCTCACTATGATGCCTATGTAATGGCCCTTTTTTGTCTCGAATAAATATAGACGTCGTTAGATAAGGCGCGAAGTTTTGACCATGGCATTTGTCTCGAGCTCGCTCTCTATCCCTGCAACTTCCCCAAATTCTGCTTCTTCTCCTTTTTATTTGGTTCGATTTTGCCCTAATTTTGCTTCTTATTCTTCAAAGTCGGATCGATTTTTCCCTAATATTTTGACTTCTATTTCGAATTTAACTGTATCTTGTCCTAATCGTTTGACTACTCGGTTGAGTACTTCTTTCTTTTATGGATCTAGCTTGTATGATGGATTTCGAAATCTCAGTGTACATGCGAAGTTTGAGAAATTTGAAGGGTTTGAAGAAGCTTCTGATGAATCTATGGAGGCTATGGAGTCGAAAGAACCAGAAGAAGAAGATGACAGGTTCTCTCTCAAGGA